ACTGTTAACCTCCGGGTTCTGCTGCCGACGTTCTGCTCCTGAAGCTATTATTTAGATTGTGAAATTTGATTTGTGTACAGATTCTAAATTTTGTGTGTTATAAATTAGACTCTAAACTGTTAACCTCCAAATTTGTGTGCAGATTTCGATCTGTTATCTTCCAAATTTTGGTGTTGTAAATTAGATCATGAAATTTGATTTGTGTGCAGATCCTGAAATTTGATTTGTTTAGATTGTTATTGTAAATTAGATTAAAATTAGGGCTTGTTTTAGAAATTTGATAATGGCAGTGTCCTAATCGTAATTTTTTCACAAATTTTAATATATTACAATTTAGTTCATGTGTTAAATTTGTAATTAGTTTGGTCGAGTTAGTTAGATATTGTGCAATCTGATGATCATCAGTGTTTAATTAATATAATTGTAATGTGCATCCGCAATGTATAAAAATATATAAAAAAATCATAGTAATATTTTTAATATAGTTCGAACAGCTCAGTTATTAAAAATAAAATTAAAGTCGACATCGAAATTACTTAAATGCCATTTTAGAAGTAAAAAAATAGCTAAATGAACCGAAATATAAAATTTTCAGCGAAAAAATTAGTTCAGTCGATTTGAAATGCTAAGGTGCAAGTTGTTCATCGTTAATGTACAACCTTTTAGCATTAATATGCAATCCGTATAACATTATTGTGCACTATTAGCGTATTCATTTTTTTTTTATGTTTTTTTCGTAAACAATACTGATCCGAACAAAATAAATGACTTATTTGATACTTTTGTATTATTTTTGGTTTAAAAATTTGAGTCCGTCTTCGATATATAATGTGCAATCTAATATTCGTGATAAAGTGCAACGTATTATATTGTAAAGTGCAATATGTTGTTTTATAAAGTGCAACATTTTGATGTATAAAGTGAAACACTGTAATTTTGTTACGTGATCATATATATAAAGAAACTATATTTAAAAAGTATTTGTATTAAAATAAAAATATATACTATTTATTTTATACTAATTATATTTTAAAATAATTACTATTACATTATTTATTAAATAATATTATTGTAATAATTATTATTTATATTGTATATTTATATATAATTTCTTAATATTGTTATTTAATATTTATGTATAAGAAAACAAATATAAAAATAATATTTTTATATATTTTTAAAAATTACAAATTTGGCCCAATGTACTCAATTGAAATATAACCAAAATTTTATAAATTACATCTAGGTCCTTCAATCCAATCTAATTCTCAAAATCAAGCCACACAACTTAATCTAATTCTCAAAATCAAGCCACACAATTTGAAGTTGGTGCAGCTATTCCTCCATGGCCAACGGGCGGCG